GTAGAACCATTCCGACAGTCTAGTCAACATAACAGACTAGGAAACATAGCAGTCTAGTCAACACAACAGTCTAATCAACACAATAGTCTAGTCAACACAACAGTCTAGTCAACACAACAGTCTAGTCAAGACAACAGGCTAGTCAACACAACAGTCCAGTCAACACAACAGTCCAGTCAACACTACAGCCCAGTCAACACAACAGTCTAGTCAACACAACAGTCCAGTCAACACAACAGGCTAGTCAACACAACAGCCCAGTCAACACAACAGTCCAGTCAACACAACAGTCCAGTCAACACAACAGGCTAGTCAACGCAACAGTCCAGTCAACACAACAGGCTAGTCAACACAACAGGCTAGTCAACACAACAGTCCAGTCAACACAACAGGCTAGTCAACACAAAAGGCTAGTCAACACAACAGTCGAGTCAACACAACAGTCCAGTCAACACAACAGTCCAGTCAACACTACAGGCTAGTCGACGTAACAGGGTAGTTACTGTCTAGTCCATTTAAAGTTTGACATGCTCCTCAGAACAAATAGCCTTCAGTGTAACGGTGACTTATGTGTGCAATAAATTGTGTTATTAATTGGACAAGAACGGAACAAAGATTTAAAGGGAGACGACCATCTCTTCTTTTAAGGATGAAACTATTTTAAAAGCCAAATAAATCAAGGCGTTACAGTATACGACGTACACTTTTACTCTAAGACTGACGAATGGTCAATTTCTCTAAGACTGACGAATGGTCAATTTCTCTAAGACTGACGAATGGTCAATTTCTCTAAGACTGACGAATGGTCAATTTCTCTAAGACTGACGAATGATCAATAAAAAAGACACAACTCTATCCCTAAGATTCACCGAATACAATTCTATCCGGAACATAAAAGGGATACAACTCTATTCGTAGCATAAAAGGGACACAACTCAATCCCTAACACACACCGGATACATACTTATCAAAGCATGATTAGTGAAGAGCTTTTCTCTGCATTCGTCCAAGTCGCCGGCGTTTACATTTCGGGCCCGGTCGCGTTCCTTAGCATCTTGTTCAACGTCCTCAACGGCGTCGTCTTCGTCAAACTCGGTTTCTCCGACACCACCAACGTCTCACTGCTGGGCCTGGCCGTGGCGGACATCGGCGTTTCCTTGCCCGTCGCCGGGTACAGCCTGGTCAACTCACCCACCATCTCATCGCTTCTCGGACAGTCGCTGAGGGAGGCCATTATTTACGCGGTTCAAGGTCCTGCCAACGTTCTGTTTTGCCGGATAGCCGGTCTCTTGACGGCTTTTCTGGCTCTGGAGCGATTCGTCTGCGTGGCGTGGCTTGCGCGTCAAAACTTTCGTCACGCGACAGCTGACCGTTTGTTTTGTGATAGGCACCTTCGTCATCGTGACGTCATGTAACGTTCCAAGTTCCAATGCAATTCAGATCGGGCCGAGATTCGACCCAATTTTCAACGATACAGGATACGGGATTTTATTTCATCCGTTCGGTGATCAACTCCAGGACATAACGATCACCATCCAGGTGCTAACCCAGGTGATGTCTTTTACTGTCGTCACTGTGTCCACTCTTGGGTTGGTCAGGTCACTGCGTAAAAGCGTCCAATGGAGGAAGTCCACGACATCGGTCAGCCTCTGTGCTCACGTGTCCAAACGTGAAAAACAGCTGGTCAAGATGGTCATCCTGATCTCAACCGTTTTCATCGTCTGCTCGCTGCCCACAGTTGTCGGTAACCTAGCCATGATTTTCGTTAAAGACTTCAACGTCCGCGGGAGTCTCAAGAACCTGTTCTTACTAGTGTGCCTGGTATTTTTTATCTTAAACAACACCAACTCAATGGTCAACATCTTTGTCTACCTGAACATGAGCTCCAGGTACAGAATGGCGTTTCTTTCACTGTTTGAGGACACTTGAGGATCCGCTCATGTCAAGACGTGTTGTGGTCATTTTGTAGCTAAATTTTTTTTTTTTTTAAATACATTAAATCATATAACAATACAGACACACTAACCCTTCACACTGCAAGAGTTTGTCTGTTTCTGAAAGCATTGGTACATTAACATAACACATTCATTCATTAAATTTGCTGTTGTGTTCTGTATTAAAACTTTCGTTTTAATTTTTTTTAATCCCGTGTATTGGCGTGTGCAGCACATTGTGGGCGCTATATGTTATATACATTTTTCATGTGTCTTATACATTACGTTTGTGGTGCGACAGCTTCCTTACAAGCGTGGCTGCTTCCTATTCAGCGCCTTTGGTGCTGAGAGTATTTGGGTAGCTGTTGCTATATGCTTTGTATTTTGTAACGTATTGGGATGTGGGAAAGGCGTTTTTATTTTCGTTACGTTTTAACAGGAGCAGCATTAATGGAGTATTTAGTAATGGAGTGTTAGTAATGGAGTTGGTTATCATATATAGTATCTAAAAATCATTCGCATCAGCCCGAGGTGTGTTCGTACTTAAGCTGTTTAACATTTGACGTTGCACGGTGTGGCTTTTCTATTCTACCCGTTAAATATATGAGTGTTTCTTTTAAAAAAAAAAAAAAAAAAAAAAAAAAAATGAAAAAAAAAAATTTTAATAAAAAAAAAAAAAAAAAAAAAAAAAGAAGAAAAAAAAACATTTTAATGAAACACAAAGTTACTTAGGATGGTCTGCGGCTATCGTCAATTCTGGTATGATGGGTAGCACCGTCCGTTAGATTGGTAAAATATTGTGCTTTTTTGGGGTAGCACGGGTTTAGCGTAATGGTCAAGTAGCCTGCGCGGGGTAACACTGAACCCGTTTAATGTAAGTTGCAGAGTTTTTTTGGTAGCACTGGTCTAGTGTAATGGTAACGTGCGGCCTGTTGGGTAAGCACTGGTCTAGTGTAATGGTAACGTGCGGCCTGTTGGGTAAGCACTGGTCTAGTGTAATGGTAACGTGCGGCCTTTTGGGTAAGCACTGGTCTAGTGTAATGGTAACGTGCGGCCTGTTGGGTAAGCACTGGTCTAGTGTAATGGTAACGTGCGGCCTGTTGGGTAAGCACTGGTCTAATTTTTGTGGTAAAATATATCATAAATATGTGCACCGGCTTTTCCGTGGATTCAATTTTTCGCAAAGTGGAAACACAAAAATATAGCTCCATGTATTAATAGAAAATATTAACCTATCTTTGATTATGTTCATGAACTGTAAAAGAAACAAAGATAAAAGAACTCTCTTTTAAAGATAAACCTCTTCTCGAGTGTAAAATGATTGGGTTTTGAGAATTATGGTAATGTCCCCACGGTCTGTCAAAGCCCGTATTTTAACTATATTTTTCTTAAAACAAAAACAATTTATTTCTTATCTATTGAACAATGTCTAGCCGGGTACTCGCTAGTATATATATATATATAATACCTATATATAGGCCTATATTAATGACACTTATAAATTAATCTTACTGAGTTCATGATTTACTTACTACTTTGGCATGGTTATCATGTATTATTATGGTAAGGAGATTTTCTAGATGTCCTGGGTTTTAACTGAATTAAATTGTATGATGCCGTCTTGGTTAAAACCTGTATTTACTTTGGCTGAAAATGAATATGTACAATGTATTCACACACAAAAATGTTCCATTTATTCGAATCAATAATGGAATCTTAATATCTTATCTTAACTTTTTTTTTTTTTAAAATATCAATCTAATGACACATTTCTCATATCAACTGATAACATCCACTGCTACAAGGCAGATCGCCATAATGAAAATAATAATGGCAATTATGTAAAACCCTACTATTCGATTCGATTGAAAACGTATTTATTCGAATCAATAATGGAATCTTAATATCTTATCTTAACTTTTTTTTTTTAAAATATCAATCTAATGACACATTTCTCATATCAACTGATAACATCCACTGCTACAAGGCAGATCGCAATAATGAAAATAATAGTGGCAATTATGTAAAACCCTACTATTCGATTCGATTGAAAACGTCACCGTATTGTTTAAATTACTATCGATAAGCGCAATCAATGTGGTATAAACTTATTTCTGCCCTAGAGGACTTGTTGAGAAATTATACAGAAAGATTTATTTCGTTGAAAAAAAAAAAACAATTATAAAAAGAGTACTAATAAATTCATATTTTTTAAAATATTTCTGACGTGTACGATTAACTACATGGGTGTATCCAAGACTCTTCCGAAAAAAATACAATATTAGAGATATGCCAACGAGAGTGCATAGACCGTATTCTATGACGAGGCTAACGGAAGTGACAATTTCTTGTTCAGAGTTGTCCATATCAGTCTGTTAGAAGATTCGCCTGGTATCAGTGAAACATGATTTTTATCATTTATTTGAGGGAAGCATTCTTCCAATTAACTCATGTCCTGTTCTCTGAAGTGGGGGTTAAGAATTGTGTTATAAAACGAATGGATTATAGTCCGTTGGGAATTTACAAGCATTCTTAGTTAAAAAATGAAACGCTATTCGATAGAGACTGGCAGGTGAATCTGCTTTTTTTTTTTTTAAATTAATTATTGTGCAAGTAAAACAATCTGGTGAGCATTTTACTTGTAAAAACCTGGATAAAAGTGACGTATAACTAGCGGTGCCTGTTGTGTATTAAGTCAAGCCGATATAGCCGTTGAGCCATTCCGACAGTCTAGTCAAAATAACAGTCTAAGAAACATAACAGACTAGTCAACACAACAGTCGTGTCTACATAACAGTCTAATTGACATAACAGTCTTGTAAACATAGCAATCTGGTCAACATAACAATCTACTCAACGTAACAGTCGGCTGAACAAAAACGTAATTGTTAACATAACAGTCTAGTTGATATGACAGTCTTGTCAAACTTAAAAGTCTCATTAATATAACAGTTTAGTAATGGTCTAGTCCACTTAAACAATCTACCCATAACATAAAACCGGATACATTGTTATCGAAACATGATAAGTGATGAGCTCTTCTTCGCATTCGTCCAAGTCGCCGGCGTTTATATTTCGGGCCTGGTCGCATTTCTGGCCATCGTCTCCAACGTCATCAACGCCGTCGTCTTCGTCAAACTCGGTTTCTCCGACACCACCAACATCGCGCTGCTGGGCCTGGCCGTGGCGGACATTGGCGTTTCCTTGCCCGTCTCCGGGTACAGCCTGATCAACTCACCCACCATCTCATCGCTTCTCGGGCAGTCGCTGAGGGAGGCAATTATTTACGTTGTTCAAGGTCCTGCCCACGTTCTGTTCTGCCGGATAGCCGGTCTCTTGACGGCTTTTCTGGCTCTGGAGCGATTCGTCTGCGTGGCGTGGCCGTTGCGCGTCAAAACTCTCGTCACGCCACATTTGACCGTTTGTTTTGTGATAGGCACCTTCGTCATCATGACGTTGTGTAACGTTCCAAGTTCTCTAGCCAATCAGATCGGGCTGAGATTCGAGCCGTTCCTCAACGAGACTGGGTACGGGATTTTATTTCATCCGTACGGCGATCAACTCCAGGACATAACGATCACTATCCAGGTGCTGACCCAGGTGATGTCATTTACAGTCGTCACCGTGTCCACTCTTGGGTTGGTAAGGTCACTGCGTAGAAGTGTCCAATGGAGGAAGTCCACGTCATTGGTCAGCCTCCGTGCTCACGTGTCAAGACGTGAAAAACAGCTGGTCAAGATGGTCATCCTGATCTCAACCGTTTTCATCGTCTGCTCGCTGCCCACAGTTGTCGGGAACTTGGCCATGATTTTCGTTAAAGACTTCAACGTCCGTGGGAGTCTCAAGAACCTGTTCTTACTAGTGTGCCTGGTATTTTTTATCTTAAACAACACCAACTCGATGGTCAACATCTTTGTCTACCTGAACATGAGCTCAAGGTACAGAGTTGCGTTTCTTTCACTGTTTGGGGACACTTGAGGATCCGCTCATGTCAAGACGTGGTGTGGTCTTTTTGTATTTAATTTTTTTTTAATATATTAAATCATATGACTATACAAACACACTAACCCTTCACTCTGCAAGAGTTTGTCTCTTTCTGAAAGTATTGGTACATTAAGATAACGCATTCATTCATTAAATTTGCTGTTGTATTCTGTATTAAAACTAAACTTTTTTTTTTTTTTTTTAATCCCGTGTATTGGCGTGTGCAGCACATTGTGAGCGTGATATGTTTTATACATTTTTCTGGTGTCTAGTACATTACGCTTGTTGTGCGACAGCTTCCTTACAAGCGTGACAATTTTTTATATTTTTTGTTGTATTCTGTATTATAACTAAACTTTTTTTTTTTTTTTTTAATCCCGTGTATTGGCGTGTGCAGCACATTGTGAGCGTGATATGTTTTATACATTTTGCTGGTGTCTAGTACATTACGCTTGTTGTGCGACAGCTTCCTTACAAGCGTGACTGCTTCCTATTCAGCGTGTTTGGTGCCGAGAGTATTTGCGTATCCGTTGCTAGAGGCTTTGTATTTTGTAACGTATTGGGATGTGGGAAAGGGAAAGGCGTTGTTAATTTCGTTATGTTTTAGCAGGAGCAGCAGTAATTGATTAGTTAGTAATGGAGTGTTAGTAATAGAGTTAGTTATCATATATAGTATCTTAAAACGATTCGCGTCAGCCCGAGGTGTGTTCGGACTTAAGCTGTTTAACATTTGATGTTGTGCGGTGTAGCTTTTCTATTCTACCCGTTTCTGATTTTAAAAAAAAATTAAAAATAGAAGACAACATATTAATGGAACACAAAGTTACTTAGGATGGTCGGCGGCTATGGTCAATTCTGGTATGCTGGGTAGCACAGGTCCAGTGGAATGGTAAGACATGGTGCTTATTGGGGTAGCTTTTTGGGTGCTTTTTGGGTAGCACGGGTAATGGTCAAGTAGTCTGTGCTGGGTAGCAACGGTCCAGTGGAATTGTAAGACAAGGTGCTTTCTGGGTAGCACGGGTTTAGCGTAATGGTCAAATAGGTTGTGCTGGGTTGCAGTGGTCCCGTATAATGTAAAGTGCTGAGTTTTTGGTAGCACTGGTCTAGTGTAATGGTAACGTTAGGCCTGTTGGGTAGCACTGGTCTAGTTTTTGTGGTATAACATCTCATAAATATGTGCCCCCTCCCGCCCACACCAATTTTCCATGAACTTTTCTTTTCGCAAAGTGGAAACTCAAAATATAGCTCCAGATATTTAAAGAAAATATTAACCTATCTTTGATTATGTTCAGGAACTTTAAAATTAAAAAAAAATAAAGGAATCTCTTTTAACGATTAAATCTTCAACGAGTGTAAGATGATTGTGTTTTGAGAATTTGTTTTTTGTTGAGGCATGTGTACATTTATGGTAATGTACCCACGGTCTGTCAACGCCCGTAAACTATAGTTTTATTATTTGGTATATCATATATTTATTTTTCAAAAACGAAAGCGTAAGACCAATTTTTTTTTCACGACTGTAAAATCTGGAATTTAAAGATGTTGTCATCCACACAAATAAATGTATGCATCCTTAAAAAAACTCCCTCACCTCCCCCTCGCCCCCCCCCCCGATATGTGTTTACCAAAGAAGGTTAATGATTTATCAAACTCACACCTTCACTCCTAGGTGTATCTTGTACCGCATGACGTAAATTGAAAATATCAAATCCCCTTTC